GATCGCTTCTGACTCCAGTGTCCACATCATTAATGAAGATGTTGAACAGTATGGGTCCAAGGACAGAGCCTTGGGGGACCCCACTGGTCACAGGACACCACGATGAGTGACTTCCATCGATTACTACCCTCTGGGTCCGACCCCGGAGCCAATTTTCCAGCCAGCGGATCGTGGAGGACCCAAGGCGACAATTGGCCAGTTTCTCCAAGAGGCGATCATGGGACACCAGATCGAAGGCTTTTTTGAAGTCAAGATATATGACATCAATCTCTTCTCCCTTGTCCAGGTGATAGGTCACCTGGTCGTAGAAGGAAATGAGATTGGTCAAGCAAGACCTACCCGCAACAAACCCGTGCTGGCTATCCCTTAAGATGTTGTCGTCGGCCAGTCCATTAAGGATGGCCTCTTTAATAAACTTTTCTAAGATCTTCCCCGGGATAGAAGTCAGGCTGATGGGCCTATAGTTAGCCGGATCCACTTTCCTCCCTTTCTTGAAGATAGGCACCACATTGGCCTTCTTCCAGTCTTCGGGCACTACACCAGAGCGCCAAGAGTTTTCAAAGATCCGTGCTAGAGGCTGGGCTATGATGCTCGCCCGCTCCTTGAGTACCCTGGGGTGAAGATTGTCAGGGCCAGCTGACTTGAAGGTATCCAGCTTCTCAAGATGTTCCTTCAGAAAGTCAGCATTAAGGGAGGGCAGGGGATCACCCTCACCCGGACTTCCCGGCCCTGTAGCGGGCATGGGCGTCCCATGGGACTGATGAAAGACTGACGCAAAGTACCTATTTAATAGGTTGGCTTTTTCCTGGGCGTCAGTTGTCAGTTGCCCCATCTGGCTCAGCAGGGGTCCAATGTTGCCCCTGCTTTTCCTCCGGCTCCCCACATATCTGAAAAAGGACTTTTTATTGTCCTTGATGCTCAAAGCTAGCTGGAGTTCAGTTGCAGCCTTGGCTTTCCTGGTCTGCTCCCTACAGGACCGGACCAGTGCAGAATAATCCTCCTTGGAGGTGACTCCCATCCTTTGTAGGCCTTTCTTTTTAGCCTTGCCCAGGGTCACCCCGTCTGCTTCAGGGATCTCAGTACTTTGAAACCTCACAACAACAATAGGAGATGGAAAAGTGGGAGTGGCAGTAACAGCGTGCCATGGACCAAATCAAGAATTCAGCACCGCCCAACCCACAGAGAAACACATGTCCAAGATAAAGTAGAGTCTGTCGATCTCAGCTAGGTCTTATCAGCCATCCTTGGACACACAGATAAGATAATCATGAAAGACGATCATCCTCAACTGCAAGGGATTGCCAAAGATATCAAATAAAAGTCATTAGGGAGTGGATGTCCTGAAATAAAATCAAACAAGCTCCTGAAATAATTTTGATGGGAAATTATGTGGTATTTGGCACAAATGGAGGAAAAGAGGCTGGACTTCCTGGCTGGACTACTGGAAAATTTAGTCAGTTTCCAGGACTTCTGAAAGCCAGATATTCTGTAATGACATTTAAAGTAGCAAATATAAAAGTGTCCTTGTAAAGCTAGACAAGGTCATAGCCTTTGTAATGCCTCCATTTGCCCTCTTGCTTTTCTGATTTATTTTCATCTTATTTTTACCAGTGAGAATGATGGTAAAGGAGTGCATTGTAACTGAAATCATCCCTCTGCAGCAGATGCTTGTCTTTCTGAGAGGATCAGCTCCATCCAGTCACATTCTGAGGCACAAAGCAAAGTTAGTGAGTGTGCAGTTCTTTGAAATGAGACTAAGAGCAGTACCCTCTCTGATTGACACTGGTGATCTCCCTCTGTGAGAATTCAGTCAGGCCATAGGTGGCCGTGCCTGTGCATAGGCCTTAAGGGGCAAGTAGGAGGTCAGCGGGGTGGAAAACAGGTTATTGCTCTGGGAGCATCAGGTCAGGCTCTGGGTTGGTAGAGTGGAGAGTATGGGACCAAGTTCCAGGGGAGCCAAGAGGAGAGATCTGAGAGATGGAATGGAACAAGCTTCCTCCAGAAGTGGTGCAAATTCCTGCCCTGGAAATCAAGAGGAGACTGGACTGTCACCTCGCTGGGGTCATCTGACCCCCAGTTGTCTTTCATGCCTAATGCAGAGGGCTGGACCTGATGATCTTCTGAGGTCCTTTCCAGCCTTATAGTCTGTGAATCTAGTCCAAGATGACACCAAGCTGGGGGGAGTATAACCTCATAAATCTGGATATCAAAAATCTGGAATTCTTGAAAATCTGGCACTTTTTTTATTTAAATAAACTATATCAGGGAGTACCAGCAGCCAGAGGGGGAAGCTTGCACATGGCAGCTCCCGCCACCATCCACCACCCTGCAGCTGCTGCTCTGTGTGCAGCCACTGTTCCTGGACCAGCTGCTGCTCTGGTTTCAGAAATCCAGAAAATTCACATTTCTGGTAGGTGCTCGGTCCTGAGCATGCCAGATTTATCAAGTTAGACTGTAGTAGATACACTGGAGGGTAGGGCTAGAATTCAGAGTGACCTAGAAAAATTGGAGGATAGGGCCTAGAGAAATCTCATGAGATTCAACAAAGACAAGCACAAAGTCCTGCACTTAGGATGGAAGAATCCCATGCACCAGTACAGGCTGGGGGCTGACTGGCTGGGCAGCATGCAAAAAAGTACCTAAGGGCTTACAGTGGACAATAAGCTGAATATGAGCCAACAATGCGCCTTTGTTGCCAAGAAGGCTAACAGCATACAGAGCTGCATTGGTAGGAGTGTTGCCAGCAGGTCAAGGGAAGTGATTATTCCCCTCTATTTGGCACTGGTGAAGCCATGTCTGGAGTACTGTGTTAAGTTTTGGGCCCCCACTACAGAAAGGATGTGGACCTTTCTGTGTGGATGTGGAGAGAATCCAGTGGAGGACAATGAAAATGGTGAGAGGGCTGGGGCACATGGTTTATGAGGAAAGACTGAGGGAACTGGGCTTATTTAGTCTAGAGAAGAGAAGATTGAGAGGGGATTTAATAGCAGCCTTCCATTACCTGAACGGTGGTTTCAAAGAGGATGGAGCCACATTGTTCACAGTGGTGGCTGATGACAGAACAAGGAGCAACAGTCTCAAGTTGCAGCAAGGGAAGTTTAGGTTAGCTATTAGGAATAATTTTCTCACTAGGAGGGTAATAAAACACCGGAACAGGTTACTCAGAGAGGTTATGGACTCCCCATCTTTGGAGGTTTTTAAGACTTGACTAGACAGCTTTGGCTGGGATGATCTAATTGGGGATGGACCTGCTTTGAGCAGGGGGTTGGACTAGATGACCTCCTGATGTCCCTTCCAACCCTAATTTTCTGATTCTCTGAAAACCAAGGTTAGAAGCTGGGGTGCCAAGTTC